TTATCATTGTTTGGGTTGAATGTTTAACTCAGATTTAAACGTTAGCAAATTTTGGCATCATGAAAATAGAAAATAGGAAAAGATCATCATGAGATATCCTGTAGCATTCTGTAGAAATATCCACTCAAGTCATTGTCATCTTGAATACATTCATTCTCTGCGTATGACAAATTAACTCTCCCAAAGGGACAAAAATCGGGGGTTAGTGAAAGTCATCACAACACTGAAAGCACCCAAAGCACCTTTCTTTGTAGGCTTTGTACCAAGATCACGAGGCTTTCCTTGGCTCTTCCTCTCAGAATGAACAGCCCCCGGGGGTCAGGCTGTACCTGTTTTGGTCTCTATTGCATCTCACGTTCAGTGTAAACCCCATGTCTGGAAGAAAGTACATCTCACAGAACACCCGAGTGAATTTTGCACACATGAGTGAATTTTATCAGATTTGTTGGACGAGCCTGTAATGTGCATGAAGCAATGCGACTTCCCAAAAGTAAGTCCAGCTCATTTTCAAACGCCCAGGATTTGAGATGATTTACTAGACTATTTCACAATGTGGATTAAATCAGACAAGATGCTAAAAAGCGTTAATGAAATTGGTAAACATTTAGACAGAGAGGTCACTTGGTGTGAACATGATTTCACAACAGTCACTAACTTCATGCCAATAATTTCTGTCACCACACTGAAGACCAAATCACTCCTTTTCAAAGTGAAACATAAAGGACAAAACATAATATTTATAGTTCACTTGAGGTATAAATTTTTACTAATCTTAAATGAGTTTAGTCTAAAAGTATTTTGGAGGATGGAGAGATGGCTCTGAGGTTAGGACTTCATACTGCTCTTGCGGGGACCCAAGTCCATCCTGAGCATCCGCTTCTCCTCGAGACATAGAGGGTACAACAGCCTTGAAGATTCGGTCAACCCAAATGCATGTAACACACACACACACACACACACACACACACACACACACAAACCTAATTTTAAAAAGTGTTCCATTGGTGAAAGAAATCGATCTGCACTAGTTATTACAAATCAATTTCTGTATTTATTTGCTGTTTATTTGTGCAATGAGAAAAGGACTAACATATTTAACTATCCACTCTAGATTTGTATCCTGTATAAACTAATAAGTTAATTTTATCAAAAATACATCCAAGGCCATGAATCTGAAAGAACATGGTAATGCTTTCTTCTGTGTCTCATATCTTTATAATAATAAAGAAATCATATTTTGTATGTTAATGTCATGTCAGTCCCACCCTTTGAGACTTCATTTATGACCTCTCCTGCCCAAGGCTAAATTCTCCAACAAAGATGGTTCCAAAATGACTTTCATTCTCAGAGTCTCATTTTCCACTTTTCTTTCAGCAGTATTGTCCCTAACTAAAGCGCTACATAATTCCTATGAGACACAAGGCACTTGTGTGAAAACAAGTATATGATTTGTTCAAAACTACTAAATAGGTTAATATGTAATGCTTTTATATAAAACCTTCCCATGCATACTACATTCATTTAACGTGCAGAATGAAGCTCTACATGTTTAGTGAAATGAGAATCCTGAAACTGAAAAGCTGGAAATGAAACATTTCTCAAAATAGTCATCAGTGGCAACCCACATTCATATAGGGCTTGCCTTGCACATTACTGGACCAGCACAAACAAGACTATTTTGATAGAGGGAGCCTATTAAAGCAGTTACTTGATTGATGTATATTAAAAGGAAAAAAAATGACAGAGCTATTCTGTGATTTTCAGATACTAGAGATTTAAGAGAAATGTTCCAAACTTACAATTTGTACATGTGACTGATTTCTTGTCTCTGGGAAGGGATCATAAAGATCATAAGGACAGTCTTGTACTAAATATGAAACCTTGAATACACATGATTATTCAAACCCATTGCAACATTTTCAGTGACTAAACAAACTCATTCCTTCAAAATGTTACCCTTTTATTTATTCCTGAGCTGGGCTTTGAGTTGGGTTTTTAGGTTAATTAGCTTACATTGCCATTGCCGTACAGCTGCCAGTCATCCGTCCTAATACTGTCTTAGGAATGACATAAAACAGGGGTGTTGGTGTCCTAGAGTATAGCTCATCGCCACCAGAGAACAGTTCTTTACTGTATCTTTCCTCCTGTGCTCCAGCCTCCACTGAAGATTAATGGACATGGTCCACCGTGCTTTAACCTTTCTAACTTGTTGCAATCTCCAATTTTCCAAACTGAGTTACGAGTTCCAGACAGTGGACCGATGTGAAGGTCGTTAGGCAGAGCAGAGGTTGTTTGGCAAGGCCTTTTCTATTCCACTGACTACCATCCTACTGCTCTGTCCTCATTTTCAGAATTTAACATCAAATAGAAACTACAGGTTCTTAGATATTTTGTGTGGAATTTTAATGGCTTGTGACTTTGCCCCTCATTGTAAGATGGTTTGAGAGGCCGAAGACTGTGAAGTTGGAGGCAGCTGGGCTATGTAAAAAGACCCTTTCTGTCTCAAAGAAGGTTTTGATATCTCTCAATTCTGACCTTTCTTGCTCCATTGATCTATTTTGGATTGTTTATCTGGAAAATGTACTGCATAACAGCTTATACATGTTATTTTCATCAAAAAAAACTATTAATAATAAAAATAACTTTTAAACATACACATAAACTCTCAAATTTATATCCATCCATCATCAGTGCCATTTCAATTAAAAAAAAAAACAGACAGAAAGACATGCACAAACACACTCACCACAAACATATCTTGCCATGTACCTCCAATCTAACCAGAACTTTGACTATCTGAGAGGGGGAGGCCACCTTTAAGATGAAACACACTATTGTGATAACCTTTAAGAAGACTTCCCTAGTACTTTAAGCCAAGTGGAAAAGTCACCTAAGGCTACTTAGAACAGAGACGAGACTATTTCTATACTTGCTAACAATTACACAAAGTTGTTGTATAATTGTGTAACTTTGTGTTGTGTAACACAAAGTTCCAGTGTGCTGAGAAATCTCCTGGACTCACTTTCATACATGATGAGTTTCAGAAGGGCATACTAATGGGATTATTTCTGGTGTCTACCTTCAGATATGCAGAATGGGCACAGAGAGTCTCGTAATCACACAGGAAAAAAAATGTGCCTCAGGAATCTGACTATTCCTGTAGCTCGAGTGGACTTTAGACTAGGGCTCACATTTCTCTCATCTCAAACTCAGACAGGTGCTCTTGTACTTCTGAACCCTGAAGATTAACATCATTCAAGGCATAGAACATCTAGTTGCAAATTAAACTCAGGTCGTTAGTCCATTGGTGTTGAAGCTGCTTTCCCAGTCAGGCCTGTGGAGGAAAAAAGAATGAACCTTTTGCTCCTTTTCTCTTCATTCCCTTTTTTGCTTGCCCACTATCCAAGCTACTTCTGATATCTCTTGAACTAACACAGGAAGACGTTAACAGCAGTCAGCATTAGAAAACAGTAGATCCTGTTTACAGAGACAGTTTGAGCCGATGTGTTCTTTTACTTTTGTTTGTTTGTCTGGGTTTCTTTCTTTCTTTCTTTCTTTCTTTCTTTCTTTCTTTCTTTCTTTCTTTCTTTCTTTCTTTCTTTCTTTCTCAATCATTTTACAGCCTAATCTCAGCTCCCTCCCACCTCTCCTTCCAGTCCTACCATCCATCATGCTCTACTCCTCTCTTTTCCCCCTCTCTTTCTTCTCAGAAAAGGAGAGGATGTACTTAGTCCTGTTGTGACTTGAGGTGCCAGGGTAGACTGGTACCCATTGATTTTTTGTTTGTTTGTTTGAGACAGGATCTCACTATTGGTCCCAACTGGACTGGAACTCTATGTAGACCAACCAGGCCTCAAACTCAGAGTTCGAGGTCACTTGCCTCTGCCACTGAGTGTTAGCATTAAAGGTGTACACTCCTTGAGGGACTTTTTCTTTTAAATTCTGTTCAATCATCCCTAGAAATGTTTCACATCTGCCTGGCATATAACGACTTCCCTTGGGACTGATGGTTCAAATCACCTCACTCTACACAGAGGTGGTTCACTGTTGGCTGCCCACTGCTTCCAGAAAGCCCTTTTGTCATTCTTTTTGTTCAAGAACAGGGTCAAAAAAAAAATAGAAAGAAACAGGGTCAAGGTATAAAAGATGACTCCCAGCCACCTTGTTCTCTTATTTGTATGGTATCAGATCTGTGGGCCACTGGATCCTAGCCAAAGTTATCTTCTTCATTCCCTAACCCTGCCCCATTTCATTTAGATTTCTGAACTCTGAATCACCTGTCCACTGTATACCAAATTCTAAAGAAAACCTAACAAGAACTAGTAATTATGAAACTTCCCTCACTACACTTGAAGAGCAAGGACATATTCCACAATATTCCTTAAAGTAGCCATTTCCCTAGCTGAATTCCTTATGGAGTCTGGGGTGGTTATGGAGACAGACAGCAGTTTTCGCAGTCACTGGCCTCTTTAAGATCAACCTTAATATAACTGGAAAGTCACCTTAGGGTACAGAAGTGTCGTCATTTGCTTTTGTTCTTTGTCTGGTTAAATCCTTAAAATAAAAGGATCCCCAATAAAAGAGAAGGGGAGGAGAAAGAAAGAGAAGGTAGGACGGAAGGGGGAGAAAGAATGAAGAGAAGGGAAAGGAGGGAGAGAGAAGGAACAATCTCCTTCAGTGTTTTAGACAGAAGAGCCAAAGGTAATAGCTTTCATGTTGGTGATTTTAACTCACTAGCTGGCATACAACATTTAGCTTAGCTTTAGTATCACTTTAGGATTTTTATCTTCTTTTTTTCTTGCTATACAGTAAAAGTTAACAGAAAATTTAAAAAATTTGAAAAAGGTAAAAAAAAAAACCTCCAAATGGATTTATACACAGATATTAAGAAATGCCTTTACCACAGATCATGTTGAACAACAACACACCACACACACACACCTATACTATGATGGTCATTAAAAGAAAAAAGATGCTTATTTTCTATATCTGCTTCCTAGGCCGAGACTATGAAAAGGATAAAGTTTGCAAGGAACTCGCCATGCTGGGGAAAGAGGACTTCAGATCTTTGTAAGTTTCAGTGTCCATGAAGTTCTCCTGGGAACCTGACCTTAAACAAACTGAGCACAAGCTAACTCCAGCACTGTGCAGAATGCTGAAGTGAGATGAGAGAAGACCCTTGGGCCACACTGAACCAACAGGTTGAGCAAGTGACTGTGGTCTAAGAAACTGTCACTGCTACATTTCATGAAGGAGTCTGTATTAGAGAGTAAATACAGGTTTCTGAGGTAAATTAGAACTGTCCATTGTAGGACTCTAGAAAACACTAGCAATGACCTCCAGAACATGTTCTCTAGGGGAAGATCAAAACAGACTCCAGACTGCCTTGACGGGAACGACAAATCCAGTCCTTACTGTTGTCTTAGTTAGGGTCTCTACTGCTGTGAAGAGACACCATGATCACAGCAACTCTTATAAAGGGAGACATCTAATTGCGGCTGATTTACAGCTCCAGAGTTTTAGTCCATTATCATCATGGCGGGAAGCATGGCAACATACAGGCAGACATGGTGCTGGAGAAAGAGCCGAGAGTTCTATATCCAGATTGACAGGCAGCAGGTAGTGAACTGGCTTGAGCTTCAAGAGACCTCAATAGCCACCCCCTAGTGACACACTTTCTCCAACAAAGCCACACCTACTCTAACAAGGCCACACCTCCTAATAGTGCCATTCCCTATGGGCCTGCGGGAGCCATTTTATTTCAAAACACCGTAACTTATATAAGATAAATTTCATTGAACAAATGTGTTACCTACAACCTTATATTCACACCTTTAGGCAAATCAAAAGCAGTTAATGTATGAAATATTTTAGTTAAAAGTTGAATAGATACCTTATTTTGGCATGAGTCAAAAATGCCAAAACACAATTCAACTCCAATTAATAGAATCACTTTTATCCCCCTCAGATCATTAATCCTGTACAGCAGGAAATTTTCCAGTGGCACATTTGAACAGGTCAGTCAGCTTGTGAAGGAAGTTGTCTCCTTGACTGAAGAATGCTGTGCTGAAGGGGCTGATCCTAACTGCTATGACACCAAGGTAAGTGTGTGTGTGGCCCAGAGAAGGGAACTGCCAGAGGCCTTTATGTCACCTCTTCAGGACACCCCAGATGCCAAGCCAGCTACTCCCAGTTGCAAAGGAAAATAGACTATTCGTTTTAGCTCCCACACTTATTTTAGTACTCTGTTCCTTTTATTCATTGTTGCTGCAAGTTTCCAAAGAAAAATAACTAGGATAAAGTAACTTAATGACTTACTAAATAAACACTGATAATCAGAAGTGTGAATAGGATTTAAATCCAGGCTGGATTCTAAAAAAAAAAAAAAAAAACAAAAACAAAAACAAAAAAAAAAACTTTAAAAGTTATACTCATGGATTGGTGCCTAGCCCAGTTGTCCTCAGAGAGGCTTTGTCCAGCAACTGATGGAAACAGATGCAGAGACTCAGAGCCAAACATTAGGCAGAGCTTGGGAAAACCTGCAGAAGAAGGGGAGGAAGGATTGTAGGAGACAGAGGGGTCAAGGACACCACAAGAAAATCCACAGAATCAACTAAACAGGGTTTATAATGGTTCACAGAGGGTGAACCGCCAACCAGAGCTTGCTTGGGTCTAACCTAGGCCCCTTATGTATATGTTAGAGCTGTGTAGTTTGGTGTTTTGTAGGACTTCTAACAGTGGGAATGGGAGCAGTCTCTAAGTCTTTTGTCTGCTTTTGGGACCATTGTTCTTCTCCTGAATTGTCTCATCCAGGCTTAATATGAGAAGAGGTACCTAGTCTTTGTGGACATGTAGCTTGACATGCCATGTTCGGTGATATTCCTTGGATGCCTTCCTTTTTCTGAAAAGAAATGGAGGAGGAGTAGATGGAGGGGGACTTAGAGGAGAGTAGGAAGGGGGAATTATGGCTGGGGTACAACATATCAAAGAATAAATAAATAAATACATAGATAAACTTTTAAATCATTATAAACTTGCACCTCCTATTTTACAAACTCATGAAACTCTCAAATAATTTTTACCCATGTTGTAAAGCTTAAAATTATGACTATATCTTTATTACTTTTCTAGGGTTAGGACTAATGGTGACAGAATAATTAAATGTCGGTTTCAAATTATTTGGATCACTCAAATATTGCTATAAACACCATTTGTACATATTTTTGGTTCTGGATATAAAAAATAACATATTGTGTGGACACATTTGTGTGTGCATGTGTTTTCTCTCCTATAGCATTAGTATAGAAATTAAAATTCTGAAGGAATTAGAATTCAATTAGAATATTAAAATTCAATGTACACTTGATAACAGTACTGATAATGGTAGAAATGAGTAGACAAAGCTTTACTGGCGCAGTCATCAGCACATACAGAAATGACTGTAGGTGGGTTTGGCTAAAGGCCTCAACAGAAAGATCAGTGTATGTTCAGTGCCATTATTATAATATATTCTGTACAGTGAGTATGCTTACCCATTGATTCCTTTATTTCCCTCCTTTTAGCCTCTATTATTTCTTTCACCACCAAGTTCATCACTCATTTTAACCTACTCTACACCACATCAGTCTGAATCTGCTTCAAACTGTCAACCACACTCAGAACAACACAGCACATTCACATTTCACCCCATCTTTTTGCTGCTGCATGCCTTGCTGAGACGTGACTGGAGTTTAAGGGATTTTGTGTGTCACTCCCGCTCACTCTAAGCACTCATTTATTTTTCTTTGCAACATACCAATATTTGTTCAGTTCCTAGCTTCATTTTGGGATAACTGAAAACAGGGGAACCCAGAGGATTTCCCAGGGACATTAATGAAAAGGAAAAGGAGATTGGTTGAAAAGAGAGATGATCTTCCAAGGAAAATCCAATTGATTGGCCTGCTCATTGATCACCTCCCCCTGAGGGGAGAGCAGCCTTACCAGGCCACAGTAGAGGACAGTGCAGCCACTTTTGATGAGAACTGATAGACTAAGATCAGAAAGGCAAGGAGAACCTCCCCTATCAGTGGACTTGGGGAGTGGCATACATGCAGAAAGGGGAGGGAGGGTGGGATCAGGAGAGGAGGAGGGAGGGACTTATGGGGGGATACAAAATGAATAAAGTGTAATTAATAAAAAATTTAAAAAAAAAGAGTCATGGAAGGAAGGTGGCATGAGTTACGGCTCATTCATTGAGTGACTCATTCAGCATGTTGCTTTCCTTCACTTTAGGAAAAGTCTTGAGAAAATTTACCTTCAAAGGATGATTCATATATATATATAATATTTTACTTTTTCCTACATAAACACCAAGGTGACTTTTCCATGGTAATTTCTTCTTCTTTTTCTTTATTATGCCTATTCTTTTGAACCAGTTTATTTCAAGTATCAAACCTCTTCCATTTTTTTTTCCCCTACAATGACTTTGGGGGTGTTCCATCCGCTGGCATAAATGAGAGCCACATGGCTGAGGCTGTAAATGACAGTGACCTCTAGTTTCCAGCTCTTGCCAAGGATGATACCTCAAGCTTAGAGGAACACAGATTCTCAGTCCCCATCTTTGACCCACACTGTGCAAGAATTTGTTGTTTTCTATGCCAGATAAGTAACTGTGATGTGAAATCATGCTGCTGAAATGCTAGGCAACTGCAACATGCAGGAAGCTAACGCTGACAATGTCAAGAAGGGGTTCACGAGGGAGGTCCTTCCAAGCTTTGGGTCTAATTGCAAAAAAGAAAAAGAAAAAAAAAAGAAAAAGGAGGTGGAAGATAAGATGAGAGCCACTGCCAGGACTTTTCCTAGTGTCCCTTGCAGCAGAGACGCTCAAAACCCTTCCATGAGGAACACCAGGCTATGTGATAAAGGTAAAATTACTACAGTCCAATAAGAACTGTCTACTCATTAATGAAAGTTGTTCTATGTTTAGTGTGGAATAACACTGATTAACATAAAAAAGATTCTATACTTGCCTATAGCCAAAATTATGCAACTTTATGTGTTCATAAGCCATAGTATGGAAGCTTGATTAATAATGAGAATTTTGTTGTTGTTGTTGTTGTTATTGTTTATTTGTTTTTGTTTTTTTATTATTAATTACACTTTATTCATTTTGTACACTGTATTCATTTTGAGCCCCTCCCTCCTCCCCTCTCGATCCCACCCTCCCTCCCCTTTCTGCATGCATGCCCTCCCTAAGTTCACTGATAGGGGAGGTCCTCCTCTCATTCTTTCTGATCTTGGTCTATCAGTTCTCATCAAAAGTGGCTGCATTGTCCTCTTCTGTGGCCTGGTAAGGCTGCTCCCCACTCAGGGGGAGGTGATCAAAGAGCAAGCCAATCAGATTATGTCAGAGGCAGTCCCTCTTCCCATTACTATGAAACCCACTTAGACACTGAACTATCATGTGCTACATCTGTGCAGGGGTTCTAGGTTTTTTTAAATGACAGAATATGTGTTATACTGAATGGAGATTCACATGCACCATACAAGTTTTCCTTTTCTCCTTCTTCTCTTGTTTCAGACCTCAGAGCTATCTGTTAAGTCCTGTGAAAGTGACGCCCCTTTTCCCGTGCACCCTGGAACTCCTGAGTGTTGCACCAAGGAGGGCCTTGAGCGGAAACTCTGCATGGCTGCCCTCAGTCACCAGCCACAAGAATTTCCAACCTACGTGGAACCAACAAATGATGAGATCTGTGAGGCATTCAGGAAAGATCCAAAGGGATTTGCTGATCAGTAAGTGACCTTTACAATAAATCAAACTACAGCTCTGCTGTATCAGCTCAGATGCCTACCACTGTGGAGGCAAAGGCAGGGCGATCAGGGTGAATGTCAGAGTAGTCAGTGCTCATGGGAAGACTTTCTCTCAGAAATAGGAAGGGTGAAGGCAGGAAAGACAGACAGCCCAACAAACAGGCAGACAGGAAGAAGGAAGGAAGGGAAGGGAAGGGAAGGAAGGAAGGAAGGAAGGAAGGAAGGAAGGAAGGAAGGAAGGA